ATGCGTAACAACTGGTGATGGAGGTGTCTACGGAAAAACGAGACGAAAATTTAGACGAACCCCCTGTGATTCCAATCAAGGGTGCACCTGGCTCAACCCCTCGCCGACCACCACTGCTCGAATCTTCGTCAGATTACTCAATCAGGAAATTTAAAGTCACAGCGTATCTACAGAGAGTTCCATTGGCCGGACATTTCAACTACCTCGTATCCTATTTGAGTGACGAAGCAGTACAAAGGGCTACAGCTAATGGTTTCGCGTGTCAAGTGACACACTTAAGCAAGGTTGGAGAATCTTAGATGACCATTTTTCCGTGCCCGTGGACACCCAACAGGTGATGGTATGGTTCTTATCACGTCACTAAAAAGCAAGCGAGAACCCGATCGACTAACTTAATTCCTTGCGGAGAATTGTGATGCAGGCATTTCCTCGTTTAGATGTCATTGGACGAGAGGAATTAGTACGTTCAAGGGGCTGGTGCCGTGTCCACTAAGAGAACATTTTCTTCGAAGCCCACCAAGTGATACACCTGATTTAAAAAGAACAACACTCCGCTTCCTGGCTGCAGACTAACGAATTTATCAGATGCACATCAACCGTCAGTGATGACTGTGGAACGAGCCACAGAATCTTGTGGCCTGGACAGTTTCCAGAAGACAATGTCTGTTACAAACTTTTCTAACCGGATTACCAGTCGCGGGCAGCCAAGTTCGATATGGAACAGACGACCATCATGGAGCAACTACCACGGGCATCACGCTGAATGTATATATTGCAAGAGGTTTGGCAGGAATGCCAGGAGGTGCGGTCACAACCGTTCCCGCAAACCAGATAAGCAGGGTCTTTGCTAATTGTCTTCTTATGTCAACCATTTCGACCCGATTACGTTTAGGGGTAGAGTGCGAAATACTACTAGACACAGGAGCTTCGGTGTCTCTTATCAAGGAAGAGCTCTTGAGTAAGCTTAACCACACAACTAACAAATTCGATGTCTTTCTATTTTACAACAAACGCTGATCCGCTGAAAGGCGTGGTTAGACCTTACGATAGAAGAACATCAATTTCGGGATGAATTCTTAAATTGTCCAAAATTAACTTGTGCTAAGTTTGAAGCTATCACGAGTTTACCTAATCTGCGAACGAGAACAAGATTCGGTGACCAGAGACTAGTAAGCTAGCTATTCATGCGTCCCAGTCCCGCTAACTAGAGGGAGAAGTTCAAGCTTGGAATAGGAAGTATATTCTGCAAAACAGCCAGAAACGGGCGATAACAACAAACACAATTCAAAACGCATATATACAGTACTAAACAGTCCTTGGGGAGAGTCACCAAATAGCATACTAAAGGACGCAATGGACCAATAGCATCTAAGATACTTCCCTAAGGGAAATACGACATGAAGGTGACAAGAGCGCCTTGGCGCGAAAACAAAGAAGTTCGAAATTTCGAAATATAATTACAAAATTAGGTCCCTTGCCAAGTGAGTTCTGGGGATCTAACGTCCGCAACAACTTGGGACATGATTCTCATCGTTGATTTCATATTAATACATCAAATCTCTATATTCATGGATAGATCGGAAGCAAAAATTGGTGATGCTATAGTACACATGCACCACTATGAGATGCTAACTAAACCTATAGTCCATGTGGGGATTTCAGAACATGTATGTCAGATACGCAGCAATCAAATAATCACGGAGAATGATCGTCACGTGACGATTGCTGTGCTCCAGCAGTTTAGTTCTGTGTTTGAAGGTACTTCCGAAAGTTGGACAACTGCAGCGCAAAACTCTATCTTCAAAAGTGACCATATGCCACTTCTACAGCCACAACGCAAGGTATCAGTGCACTACCAACCGCAAATGGATGCAATGATAAAAGATATGCTAGACAAAATGATCATAGTTCGTTCGTCATCTCCCTAGGCATCACCTATTGTCCTAGGGAACAAGAAACACTCCTCTCTACGACTCTGCGTAGATTATCGACGCTTTAATGCCATAACTAAACGTGACTCTTTTCCGCTTCCGCGGATCGATGCTACATTAGACTCCTTGAAAGGCTCATTTTAATTTTCGACTTTGGACCTAGCATCTGGGTATTGGCAAGTAGAAGTCCAACCGCAAGATAGGAAGAAAACTGTATTTATAGCGCCAAACGGTTTATATGAATTTAAAGTGATGCCTTTTGGTTTAACTAATGCTCCGTCTACTTTTCAAAGACTAACGCAGTTTTACAGGACATAATATCCCACAAATGCTAGATACATCTTGACGACATTACTGTGTATGGTAGCACACCCGGACAACACTATATTAATCTGAAAACAGTTCTTCAGTGCCTTATACAACACAATTCGAAAGTAAAACCGTCCAAATGTCGCCTGCTACAGAAAGAAGTAATCTTCTTGAGACATCGTATCACCGCAGATGGGGTGGGCACAGATAAAGAAAATAAACATGCGGTCGTTAATTGGCCGCAACCAAAATCACCCGAAGACGTTCATGGCTTTCTTGGGTTAGCTTGTTATTACAGACGCTTTGTTCGCAAATTCGCATCACTAGCAGCAACTTTCCATTGATTAACACACAGAGGACGAAACTTTTTACGGACCAGCGAGTGTCAACAGGCGTTTGATGCTCTGAAAGTACGGTTACTCTCCCCACCTATATTAGCCTTCCCGAATACTTCAGCAGACGGAGGCGAGTTGATACTTGATAAAGATGCTAGTTCTTCGGCTATTGGAGCAGTTCTATCACAGTAAGCTCGAGATGAGTACGAAAGGGTCGTTGTGTATGCTAGTCGACGACTAGATAAGAGTGAAGCACAGTATTCCACAACACGTCGAGAGATGTTAGCATTAGTAGAATTCCTACTACACCTTCGTCATTGTCTACTGGGCAAACGGATCACCGTGCATTACGGTGGCCCCGCTCTTTCCGCGAACGAGAGGGGCAAGTGGCACGCTGGCAGGAACGGCTACAAGAGTTTGATTTCACCTGCAAGTATCGACCGGGAAACCGACATACAAACGCGGATGCCCTTTCCAGAATACCTCAGACCACAGATACTGTTAACGCAATTCTTAGCATAGCTTTGGAGAATGATTGGGCCTCCCTGCATGCAGAAGATCCGGACCTGCAGATTATTTACCGAAGACAGTTACACGGAAACAATAAGCCATCCATGAAGGAGTTAAAAAATCAACCTTTAACAACTCATAGTATTTGCACTAAATGGAGCAACCTAAAACTATATAGTGACAGGTTATTCCTAATTAATGGATCGAAACGACCCCTACTGATAGTACCGCAAATGAAAGTCGGGGGCATCGTGGTGTTGGTCATGCTGGAGGACGAGGGACCGAACATGCTGTCCGTCAACGTTTTTGGTGGCCATCCATACATGAAGATGTAGCGCACTTTTGCAAGAATTGTAACACGTGTTGCCGTTTTAAATCGCCTCAGCAGACACCTCGTACACCAATGACGCCGATGGTGACAACGGGACCAAACCAGCGCGTTGGCATAAACACCATGAGACCATTGACAACAACAAAAAGCGGGAATCGCCACATACTGGTTATGGTGGATTACTTCACTAAATGGTGCGAAGCAGTACCCATTCCACAGCAATACGCCGTTACTGTGGCTCAAGTTTTCATCGATTATTGTGTCTCTCCTTATGGTGCCCCAGTCTCACTCCGTTCCGACCGAGATCAAGCCTTTGAAAGTCATCTCATGGCTGATATATGCCAGCTATTAGGAAGCAGGAAGACACACACTACTGCTTATCACGCAGAAAGTAACGGCCTCGTGGAAAGAACAAACAGAACTATTCAAGCCATCTCACAGTCGTTCGTCAGCATATCGTCGCCTGAGTTATGGGATGATATGCTCCCTCAATGCCTTTTAGCATATAGTACGTCGGTACACGGGATTCTCACCCGCTTATTTATAGTCCGGGCACGAATTGCGCTTACGGGTAGAGATACAGTCGCCCTGATGCCCTGCGGAGAACAACAGCATGTATCGTGCATACATACTCTCCACAACCGCCTATCTGATGCATACCGCCTGGTCAACATCAACTTGCGCAAGGCTAGCAGACACCAAAAAGATATGTACGATTGCCAGGTGCAAAGACCGGTGTATACAGTCGGAGATCGCGTCTGGCTACGCCTCCCCATGACATCGTCAGGAAGTTGCGGTACATTCCACCAGCTCTGGCAAGGTCCTTTCGAAATTGTCCTCAACTGATCCCCCACTACGTTTGTATTGCGTAACATACAACGATCTAAGGACGACGTGATAACGGTACACTACAACCAAATAAAACCGAATCGGATAACAGTCCCCTTCGATACTCAGTTCACCGATCAACCACCGGCCACTAGATTTTATGAATCACCATAAGAAGGAGGAGCAGAATACCAATGCACAAGACCAGGCAGTGAGGATAGTGCCTCATTAGGAGAGGGGGCGATGTAACGGGTTAAATCATCATTTATGGTGTTGTCAATAGATTCTGTTTTTCTTTCTGTTGCAGGGCAACCAAGAATAAATGCTTCAGAAGAAGAAGAGCAAGCTCTGCATGCACTGAACTTATATGATGACTCATAAGACTGTTTTGTAAACTACGTCTCCCTTCTGTACATAACCCGCGAATTTTAATTTTCAAAATAAACGACTGGTGGCTTCATTCCGTGTCCTTTCTCTTGGTGTGAAGTGCTCGGTTAACGTTGTGTGTTGTGGTTTCAGGTCTTTCCCGCCTGTCAGTGACTGCTGATTACACATGTCACAATTAGACTAGCTATGAGCATGTGAACTCTAGTTTAGTTGTTGTGTTAATTAGCTTTTTGAAGAATACTATGAGCACAAGTTAGTGTCCATGCAAAAATTTATGGTTAAGATTAATTTTTTCAACGAATGAAAATGAAATTATATTGTTAAAGCCACATATTTCGTAACCACGCATCTCCTGATTCAGTAAATGTCTTAAAAGTCTTCTTCTTGTTCCATTGACGTATAACGTTTTAACCATGATCCAAGATATTCGATTGGTTCATTTGGTTTGACAATAGCCAGTTCAGTCAGTCCTAATGTCAAAGGTTCATCTGTAACATATTAGAAAAGAACAACAAACAAAAAGCAATTCTTACTAATGAATTACTGTAGATTTTATAGGCTCTATAAGCCAAGATTACCATGTTTTTGTCTTTTTTTCTTTACTTCTGTAGATATAACATTTTAATACCATTTTACAGATTAACCACATGTTTTACATTGTGTCAGAATAGTATAAAATATACATTTCATAATATTACACTAAAGCTTTCTCTTTAATCTGGCTACACTTTATGGTAAGAAATTCTGATACATCTTATTACTAGATTTATTATTTTCTGTAAGAGACTATTTCAAGTATCTACTGACCAATTTCTTAAAAAATATCAGATTTTAGCTATTAATATTTAATGAGACCTACATAACAAGTAGTCATATCTTGAATGTTGTCTTCTTTAATTTGTAGCATAGAATGTAATAGGACTTCATATGTCTTCATGACTATCCAGTGTCTCACAATAATAACGAATGAAATGAAAGTGGAAAATTTCATCCATATTAAATAAATTAACGTTGCTATGGTTAATAACAGTGTGTTGAATAGTTCAAGAGATTATACTTATGTAGACAAGTGATATTACAGTGTGATAATTTTGTACTAAGGATATCATAGTTACTATTTTATATGTGGTAAAAATAAGCCTGGAGTCCTCTAGTCTAAACTAAGGAAACATGAAGGCAACACTCGTTAACAGTAACCAATAGAGCAAGGGAGAATATTTTTACGAGGCCTTGTAAGGTCTATAAGACGATTTTATTCATTCTTCACAAACTTCGTTTGTTTTCCTTCACCATTTCAGTACCAATACTTCATTATTTACACACTTTGCTCACAAGCGGCTTTTTACATAATTGTCACTTTAATAAGTTTATTCATGAAATTATAATCTAATTCATGCTTTGAAATATGTATTTGAGTTTCTATTATAATGAAGAAGATGTACTGAAACTTACTTTTGTAGGCCTGTTGTACCTCGTGGAGGAGCATAGGCCACCCACCAGTATTACACATGCAACTCTGTCCTGATCGATCCTCTCCAGTTGCTATTCATTCTTTTGATGTCTGCTTTCAATTTCCAACTCAATCTGTCTCCTGGTGTTCCTATTCTCCTTTTCTTTTCAGGATTCTAAGTTAGCGATTGCCTCGTGATATAGTTTGATGATTTTCCATATGTATGTCAAATTCATCTCCGTCATCTTTTCCTAAATTCCTCTACAGCAGGTAGTTGGTTTGTTCTCTCCCACAGAAGGCTATTGCTGATGGTATCTGGCCATTGGATGTTGAGTATCTTGCGTAGACAACCATTTATAAACACTTGTACCTGCTTGATTGTGGTTGTTGTAGTTCTCCAAGTTCCAGCTCCGTACAGTAGAACTGCCTTGGTGTTGGTATTGAAGATTGTGACTTTGATATTGGTTGAAAGTTGTTTTGAGTTCCATATGTTCTTCAATTGTAGGAATGCGGCTATTGCTGTGCAAATCCTCACCTTTACGTCTGCACCTGAACCTCCTTGTTCATCGATGATGCTTCCCAGGTATGTGAAGGATTCTGCATCTTCCAAAGTTTCGCCGTCAAGAGTGATTGGATTGCTGTTCTCTGTTTTGAATTTGAGGACCTTGGTCTTCCTTTCGTGTATGTTGAGGCCTACTGATGCAGACTGCTGCTACACTGGCTGTCTTTATCTGCATCTGATCGTGTGTATGCGATAGGAGGGCTAAGTCATCTGCGAAGTCCAAATCGTCTAACTGGTTCTGAGCTGTTCATTGTATACCGTGTTTTCCCTCAGATGTCGAGGTCTTCATAATCCAGTCGATCACCAGAAGAAAGAGGAAAGGTGAGAGTAGAAAACCTTGTCTGACTCCGGTCCTTACTTGGAATGCATCTGTCAGCTGTCCTCCATGCACGACCTTGCACTGTAGTCCGTCGTATGAGCTTCGGATAATGTTGAAAATCTTCTCAAGAACTCCATAATGTGGAAGAAGTTTCCATAACGTTCTCCTATCTACATTGTCAAATGCCTTTTCATAATCAATGAAGTTGATGTATAGTGACGAATTCCACTCAACTGATTGTTCGACGATGATCCGTGGTGTTGCAATTTGGTCTGTGCACTATCGATCCTCACGGAATCCAGCTTGTTGATCTCGAAGTTGGGCGTCTACTGCGTCTTTCATCCGGTTCAGCAACACTCTGTTGAAGACCTTCCCTGGTATTGACAGTAGTGTAATGCCTCTGTAGTTTTCACATTTGCTCAGATCTCCTTTCTTCGGAATCTTGATGAGGTGTCCTTCTTTCCAGTCCATCAGCACTTGTTCCTCCTCCCAAATCTATTTGAATAGAGGGTAAGTCATGTTTGTAGTTACTTCGACGTCTGACTTCAGTGCTTCAGCTGGTATGTTGTCGGATCCTGCTGCTTTCCCGTTCTTGATTTGTCTGATGGCCATTCGGATTTTCTTGGTTGGTGGGTTGACGTCTTGTTTGCTTCTATGTATCCAGCTTGTGCTTGGACTTTCTCTGCTCGTGTTCGGCTGTTGTTAATTGCTGTCTTCTTGTTTTTCCTTCCTTCGATCCTGTCCAGTGTTTCTATAGAGGTCCATTCCTTATGATGATGCTTCTTGAGGCCCAGAATCTCCTGACACGTTGAAGTTAATGCTTCTTTGATACCTTTCCAGTTGTTCTCCATAGTAGTTTCTTCTTGTTTCAGTAGATCCTGTAAGGCTTGGAACCTGCTGTTGAGAGCTATCTTGAATTCATTGAGTTTGTCAGTATCTCTAATGAAGGCAGTATTGAACCTTTGTATTGCTGTTTGTCCAGTTGTCCAGTTCCTTTTTAGCTTCAGTTTTATGTTGGCCACAACTAGGTGGTGATCTGAAGCTCTGTCAGCTCCTCTCCTGGTTCTCACATCTTCTATTGTCCTTCGGACTTTTTTATTGATGCAAATATGATCTATCTGGTTCTCTGTGGTGTGGTCCGGTGAGATCCATGTAGCCATGTGTATACGTTTGTGCGGAAATATTGTTCCGCCTATGACCAATTTATTGCAAATCTTCCCCCATTTTCGTTTCTCTCTCCCAGTTCATGTCGTCTATAATATTCTAATTATAGTATGAACTAGGAATTCCAGGACTAACGCAATTGAACTAAGAAGACACAGGCACAAACGAATGTATTGTATTTAGAATTCGAAATCAAGTATTCAACCAGTACCAAGGTATCATTGGTGCATTCAAACACCACATCCGCCACAGCTTAAATTGGAGTCTAGGTGTTTATAATCAATCGTACGTCTTCTTCTCAAATTCATCCTGAGTCTGTCTGACATTGTATTGGATAAGGATTCTGTATTATCTAGAATATGCTCATTAGCATTAGAATTAACAATCGAAATTGGAACCGACTCACCTGGTTCCTGAAATTGTATTTGATCTACATGTCGACTGTGTGTACTTAAGTCATCGATGTCTAGAATTCGCACCATCGATTTTCCGACATTCTTCAGAACAATACCCGTAGATGGTCGAAGATCATTTCCTCGATAGTATGTAACCTCTGCAGACTCCAGACATCTCATATTCGACCGAAGAATTCTTCCTTTCAATAGCTTCGCTGGAGTCTCCTTCGTCACCGAATGTTTGGCATTACTATATTGCAATAGAAAGGTATCTACTCCCCTCTCCAGCTCATTAAATGTTGAGGGGGCTATAGAATCAATAGCAGTCTTTAATGTCCTAACAAAATTCTCTGCCTGACCATTAGAACACGGATGTCTGGGAGCAGTAAATAGATGTTTGCACCCTATACCGTTCAACCAGGTAGTGACTGCATCTGCAGCAAAATGTGAGGCATTATCAGTCACCAACACCAAGGGAACACCTTCTCGACTAAACACCTTTCTTAATGCTTGTATTGTGAAATCAGAATTCGGTGAAATTGTGAAAAAAACTTCAGGCCACTTTGAAAAAGAATCAATGACTACTAGTGCGTAGTATTTACCAAGAAATGGTCCACAATAATCAGCATGAATCCTCTGCCAGGCCTCAGACGATACTGGCCATGGCACCCACTTCGAAGGATGGTTTTTCAACTGATGACATTTCTCACAACTGTTTGCCGTACGACATATATCTGCATTTATCTCTGGCCACCAGCATGTGAGCCTTGCCAAGGACTTCATTTTCTCAACACCTAAATGACCACTATGAAGATCTTCAAGAACAGATTTACGCAATGAAGGAGGAATGACAACACGATCGTTTAAACACAGAATACCATCAGGAGTAGTAGATAACTCATCCCGCTTTGAAAAATAGATAGGAAATCTCCGTTTCAAATTAGCATTCCAACCTTTCCTTATAGCACTGAGTATACATCCAAAATATCTACGAGTTTCTCTAATGAGATCTGAACGTCTCACTGGTAAAGGTTGCACTAACAAACAATCCGAAGTATTAATAGGTTTATCTTGTAATGACTGTCGAGAAATGTAATCAACATGTTGAATCTGTTTGGCACTTCTGTGCTGAACCGTATAGTCATATGCACTCAAAGCAATACTCCATCGCTGAACCATAGCTGCTGAGGAACGTGCTAAGGATTTTCCGGGATGATAAATAAACTTTAAAGCTTCATGATCAGTAACAATAGTGAATTTCTTTCCGAATAAATATTTATGAAGTCTTTTAACAGCCCAAAACACAGCTAATGCTTCTCGCTGAGTCTGTGAATAACCTTGTTCAGTAACAGTAAGTTTGCGTGAAACACAAATAACTGGTCTACCTTCCTGTTCCAAAACTGCACCAATTCCCACAGGTGATGCATCAGTAATAAGCACAGAATGTACATTAGGAGAGTACGTTCGAAGAACAGCATCACTTTGAAGAAACTTCAGCAGACTTCGTAAGCATGACTCTTGTTCCTCACTCCATTTGAATGAATTGGATGTTAAAATATTAAATAAACAATTTGCACGACAAGAAAAATTAGGAATAAAACGGGAATAGTATTGAAGAGCACCCACTAGTGAACGTAATTCTGTAAGATTTTTCGGAGACGGTGCATTAGTCAGTGGAGCTAGTCGTTTCATATCTGGTCTAAAACCGTTACCATCAACTAGGTATCCAAGGCATTCAAAACTAGATACACAAAATGAACACTTATTTGGATTCACTGTTATATTCTTCTCAATTAAACGTCGCAATAAAGCAATAAGTCTCTGGTCATGAACCACCTTATTAGAGCCATGAACAATGAGATCATCTTGATAAACTTCAACACCTTCAAGATCACTAACTACTGTATTCATAACTTCTTGAAATATGGCTGGAGAACAACTTAGACCAAATGGAAGGAAATTGTATTTGAACAGACCAAAAGGAGTGTTAATTGTCGTCAAAATAGATGAAGATTCATCTAAAGGAATTTGAAGATAAGCATCTTTTAGGTCAACTTTCGAGAACACTTTAGAACCATGAAGTCGATTTAGAATATCTTCAGCTTCTACCGTCGTGCACGTTTGCTTCAACAAACGGGAGTTCAGAGTTAATCTATAGTCACCGCAAATTCTAGGGGTTTTGCCGTCCGACTTCAGTGGCGTAACGATAGGAGTACCCCATGCTGAAGACTGGATTAGTTCAATTATGCCTTTCACACACAAATCGTTTAATGTCTTATGTACTGCTTCTCGAAGACCATAAGGAATTATTCGTCTTTTAAGAAAGACGGGATCACCCTGTACTTGAAGTTTTATAGGCTTAATTTTCATACCTCCACTGCATTTAGCACACATAGCTATCAAATCTTTAAGTAAAGTATCAGAATTTTCTTTAGAAACTAAGAAGGACAACTCCACCTTAAGCCTTTTCAAATTCTTTAAACCCAATATTGACAGTCCTGTTTCGCTAACTAAAAATTCACAAGGTATGTATTAAGAATTATCATCTCTGATTAGCAATTCACAACATCCTCGTATGGGCAGTCTGTGTCCAGTAATCCCCAGTATTGATACTTCAGTGGGTTGTACAACAACGTTAGGATCTAAAGCTTTCAAGTTCTTGAATGAAATAATGGACTCTATACTGCCTGTGTCCAGAATAAAGTCATGAAATGAACCAAGCGATGTATATAATCGCTTCTGAATATGAGCATTACCTTTCGAAATAGTGGACAAAGACAAATGATCACTAGAAACATCCGAATTATTGAAATTTAAATTACAAGATTTAGTACAGCTCGAAGCAAAATGGACAGTAGCTTTGCATACTGACTGAATGTGTCCTACCTTACCACATTTAAAACATTTAGCATTACGAAATACACATGAATTGCGAGCATGAATCTTTCCACATGATAAACATTTACCAAACTTCATCTCACCTTTGTGATTTGCTTTGTAATTCCTCGTTGAAACACCTTTCATATTTACACGAGAATAGGAATCACTGTTAAATGAACGCAAGTTTGATTGACCCTGAGATTGTAGTTCATCACGACGACTAAGCAAAGTATTAGAAATATTCATCGACTGGATATCAAGTTCATTGACTGCTTCGTAGTTAATACATGCAGTTCTAGCATCTTGAAAGGAACAGTTTGGCATTCTTAACAGCTCTCTTTCCAAACTCGGTATGTTAATTCCTGCAATTAATCGATCTCTCAATTGCACATGAAGTTGATCACCGAAATTACACTTGGCAGCTTGTTTCTGTAATTCAAGGATGAATTCCCGAACCTTTTGGTCATTTTGACGAACCATCTTATGAAACTTCGCCCTTTCACGGCATTCAAAACTGGTGCATTTTACATGACTTAACAATAGCTCTTTAAGAGTTGCATAAGGCAGTGAGATAGGTTTTTCTGGATATGCCAAAGTTTTTAATAAGCTGTACACTTCTCTCCCAATGAATGTCAGAAAATGTGCCACAATTTTCTCACCTTTAACATCTTTCTTGGTCATGCTCCAAATTTCGAACCTTTCCAAATAATCCTCAATAGCTTCAGGAGTTAAATGAATATCCAACTTTTCCATTGCAGGTTCCATCGCGACGCCAATATAATATTCTAATTATAGTATGAACTAGGAATTCCAGGACTAACGCAATTGAACTAAGAAGACACAGGCACAAACGAATGTATTGTATTTAGAATTCGAAATCAAGTATTCAACCAGTACCAAGGTATCATTGGTTCATTCAAACACCACATCGTCCCATGATATCTTCATATCCGGTGTTGTCTATTCCGACTTTGGCATTTAGATCTCCCATTAGAATGGTGGGGTCCTTTCTTGGACATTTCTCTATGATTGACTGCAGCCGCTCGTAGAATTGATCTTTAATTTCGTCGTTGCTATCATTGGTGGGTGCATAACATTGGATAATATTCATTGTAATCCCCTCCTTCTTTGTTTTGAATGATGCTTTGATGATTCTGGATCCGTGAGATTCCTATCCTACAAGTGCATTTCGTGCTACTTTGGACAGCATAAGAGCGACTCGCTGAGTGTGTGGAACATTTTCCTCTTCGTGACCGGAGTATAGCAGCATCTCTCCCTTATTTAGCCTTTGTTGTTCAGCTGGGGTTGAATGGGTTTCGCTGATTCCCAGTACTGCCAAGTTGTATCTCCTCATTTCCGTTGCTATTTGACTGGTCTTCCCCATCTCCCACATTGTTCGGACATTTCATGTACCTATAAAAATTGTTGCTCTGGTTGTTAGAAGGGGCATCGGCCTCGTGGCTTCCGAAGGAACTCGGCTTTCACCATGAAGTGTCATAATTCTTCTAAATGAAGACCTTCTAACTCCTAGGGCAGAGTTAAAATGGTTCGAATTATTTTTTCTGGTAAGCGTTTTTTTAGCGAGTTAGTTTTCTACGGGATGGGGACGCTAACCCCATGCCCAACCCTCCTCCTTTACCCGGGCTTGGGACCGGCAGTAACTCTAGAAGAGCTACAGGTGGAGTTCTGTTGTTGAGAGCTATCATGAATTCGTTGAATTTGTCAGTATCTGGAAAGAAGGCTATATGTCATTTATTCACTACCAATTAGTTGTATAAACAGTTTTGCCCACTGAACTCGTTTGATGCTGATCATTATTAGTACAATTTTAATATTTTTACACAATTACGATTTTTCTTATTTTTCCATTCCTAATGATGCTTATTTATTTATTAGGATTAGTTATAAAATAAAACTAATCGTATTTCTTTTTGAGTAATCAGTTTTATTTTAAGCAAAGATGGATAGTGACTAGCAGTGGAATCTAGGATGCGCGTTTCATCCTATTTGAGACTCGTCAGCTGGATGTACCTGGATCTCAGAGTTGATGTCCATCTCGGGACTTGAACCCAGTACCGTTCACTCCAAACGCCATCGCGTTCTCCACTTAGCTACTAAGTCATGATATCCACTTGCTTGTACAATGGGGTTGCACTGCTAGCCATCATCCATCTTTGCTTAAAAAGCTTGTGACTTAAGGCTGTGTCGCGGCAATCCGCAAAGGATGCACATAAGCTAATAAGAGATCGATCAATTGCAGTCCTAAATAACAATGAGAAGATATATGTAAAACAACACCAAGTGAAGCAATTTTATTGTTTCACTATTCTCTAATTAATCAAAAAGTTAATATCAGAAAATGTATATTAAATGGTAATATTGAGTATGATAACTATAATCTATTTAGATTACAATATCTATGTGAATAAGTAAATTCATAAGATAATTTTGAACCCTTACATAATGAATTGAATAAATCAGATCCAGAAGAACAAAGTGAAATTGGATTCATTTGACCGAATGAATTATTTTTAATCATTTTTCTGAATTTCTCAATTTCTGAAACAGTAATTTAAAAGAAAAAGATACAATAAAATAATGTAAAGCTATAAAAATAATTTGTAGAATGAAACTTCATGAATACTTGTAAATAATTAACTATAAATTATTATTACTGTGGTTCGTTTGAATAGACGATAGTCAATGCAGTAATAAAAAAGACGAGTGAAAATGTTTTCCAGAATATCTTTTCAAATCTCTCCGAGATGTATTTAAGGTAGTGGAGAAGATTTGTAGCTGAAGTGGATGATTTTGATGGAGATTTGTTCTCTGAGCTAGATGTTTTGGTCGTGGAGCTTTTATCGTTCTTCTGAACATCATCAGCTATGCTGCTCAGAGAACAAAACTCCATCAAAATATATTTAAGGAATAGTTCATAACTGTCGTGAACATATAAACTTGCAAAGTTTATCTTTGACAGCTGTCTTTATTTAAACGATGGGTGATGTATCAAAATATCGTTTAGAAAGTTAGTGTTATAGTGAACTTGGCTAGTTTAAATTTCAAGCAAATAATCAAATTTATATTAAAATATTTATGTCCTATAAAAGACATGACATCTCATAGAATTTTCTTGATGTTAATTTAGACGAACAGATAAAATAATAATCAGTTATAACTTCCAGTCATGATATTTTGCATGCCTGAACTTATCAGCCTCTGATAGTTACCTCATCAAAATTCCCTTAGATCCTATTGTGTGTGACTGTTTCTATTGAAACTTAAAATCAAACACCATTTCTGAAACTAGAATAAAACAATCTTTCTAAATTTCAAATAAACACCACTTTCATACTATGACACGAAATCTTTGGTAGGATAAGTGGAGAATCAGTGCTTAACTTATATGTAACAAAATCACTAGTATTTAAAAAAAATAAATAAATAGATGAGTTTGTATTACAGACTAACTTTATTTAAACAATCAACGAAAATCAGTTAACACTTAACATCTATTTTTTATTAGCATAGGATCTATTGACTGCACGATTACGGATCAATCAAGGATCAAAACCAAAATCGTCAGGTTTCGTAGTGAGACAGTTACCTTTACCCTACTGATTTTGAATTCAGTGGTATATATTTCTAAATACATTGAATTTGTGGAGAAGGAGGATGAAACAATTTTCTGACGCTCCATATTTTTCAACTGTTATTTAGCTATAGTTACTCAATAAAATCAACTCTAAACTTCAATAAATCTTTCTCGTTAAGAATAAAAGTGCTACAATTAGTAGAAAAACTGGGTTCAGTACTCTTTATAGACTGCCTACAACCACGTAACATAAGGTGCATTATATACGGGATGTCAAGGCACTTTTTGCTTATGTCCATACTTCAACTTTACCAACATAATTTAATCAACTATAAGAACTAAACAAATATAACATTGGTTATCATTCACTGATCTAGTCAGTGGAAATTAATCACGCACAATTGTTATGTTAATATCGTTAATTATTGGCGAACGTTTTTATGTTGATTAAGATTTTAGCTAAAAAAGTTTTAAAAATAAACTCACTATGTTTTTGTTCTACTGAAGTGATATTATTAAAATTTACTGGTAACTGTTTTTGTGTATGTTGTTGTTGTTTAGTTGAGTATTCTATCTTATGATTAGTTCCTTCGAATACCACTGTTTGACATTTTTCTTTTACTTTATCATTACTATTATAATTATCATCACTACTTTCATAATCATGTGAAATTATTTCTTTATTATTTAATGCAAATTTCACATCTTTTTTATATAATGATGAAAATTGTAATGAACAACATGGTAATTCATTTAGTTTTTGTGTTTGATGTTGATAATGAATTAGATTGCAATTAGTTTCATTTAATCTATTGTCATTTTGTAATTTTTCATATGATTTTTCATTATTTTGTGTGACGTTTGATAGTTTAAAGTTTGGACAAATATCACCGAAGGAAATAACAGAATTATTATTACTATTATTAATATCATGATTAGTAGTAGTGGTAGTAGCAGTGGTAGTAGTAGTAGTAGTATAATGATGAATTGTATCATTTTGATCTGTTGCTGATAACAATGGCGCATTACTGCTTAGTAATTCTTTTTCTTTATGGTCGATTGGAATGATCACTTGATTATTATTATTATTATTATTATTATTATTATTATTATTATTATTATTATTATTGTTACAACTGACTATGTCTACTGAATCTGTCAATTTACTTATCATCATTTTATCATGTTTATTTAAATTTATATTATATTTTGCATTTTGTTTATTTTTATGACCTAATATTTCTTCTATATCAATTCCTGTTGAACTTTCAGATGAAATTTCATGATCTTTTTCAATAAATTCATCAATAGCATCAATTGAAGTATTATGTGATATAGTAGAATCATCTAATTCAACATTTTCAACATCTTTTTCTAAGATTTCATTAAAATCTAATTGATTTCCATATATATTATTTGATAATGTAAATTCATTACATCGACCATTCACAAAATATGTTCTCATTTTACCTTTGCCCTATAAAATCAAATACATGATTAATATAATAACCATATTCTTTTTCTTTATTGTTAAGAAATACGAATACTAATCATTATGTATATTAAATCTAATTAAATTTCATTTCAAGATTTTCAAGATTTCAATGAGATGTAATTAGTTAGTATCCAATTAATTATAATAAATAACAATAAACGTTTAACAGATTTAATAATAGAAATACATAGAAGAAAAAAAGGTCAAATATTTATTTTCTTGAAAATAAAATTCATTTTCTTCATAATTATATAAACTAATTCGTTTAATGTAAAAAATGAACATAACAGTTTATTTTTCTATGTTTACTATAGGGTTTTATATGTTCGAGTACAGTTAGTTGTGTATTGTATTCTGTCTTAATGAATTAGAGGATATAATACTGGCAATGAGGTGTACTAATAACAATGCTGATTACTTTTGAACAATTAGAAACTTTGATTGAACGTTAGAAAAAAAATGGTATGAAGAGTTCCAAGTTCGTATCGTGGAAATCCTAACGTAACAAATGAATCTTAATCATAGAGGATATACTGATGATCCATGTAACTCACATACCGATTCCATCATTAATTCTATTCAAGAATTTCATTTTCATGGTTCAGGAAATATGAAGATTTGTGGGGTTTTGTTCTCTGAGCTAGATGGTTTGGTCGTGGAGCTTTCATCGTTCTTCTGAACGACATTATCAGCACAAATTTCAGATAGAAGTGAAGCGTTCGAATTCCTCATGTGGTTCACAGCTTGTCCTGTAGACCTCGATGTTTATTGGTTCTTGTTGACCTTAAACCTGTCATTGTTTACTTTTTTGTTTCGGTTGTATCTCCCATTGGTTTGTTTTTTGTTCCTGTGTTTGTGCAGAATTTCCCTGATTGGTTGATAAATTGGATCGATTTCAATGTGCTTGTTGATTGCTTCTAAAAATTCTCACGCGTTTTCGGAATTTCACAAGAGCCAATCAACGTTGAGGGCTACATGATAAGCTGTGAACCAAATATGGAGAAATTCAAACGCTTCACTTCTATCTGAAGTTTGTTCTGATGATGTCGTTCAGAAGAACGACGAAAGCTCCACGACCAAACCATTTAGCTCAGAGAACAAATATCCATCAAACTCATCCACCTGAGCTACAAATCGTCTTCACTATCTCATAAAGATTTGTTAAAGGTGGGCTTCAGTTAACTTAATGACGCCGCTATGGTCAGAATACTCCTGAGAAAACGTGTCACGATTGAACATGAACGTTAGAGTGACTTCTTCTCTCCACCGAACCCAAGAGAAGACGGGAGCAGCAGAAGTGATTATTGGATAAGAATAAAAAATATACCGAAAAACATGGGTATTTATAGCTATTATCATTGGCTACGACATCATTATAATTGAGCCAGTCCGCAAGGAGGTATGTTATGATATCCTCCAATCGTATCAGTCCACGTTAATACTGTAAAAAGCTCGCGGCACTCGAACCCGGGACCTATAGGTCTAGCACGCGGACGCCGACATCCAACGTTGTTGATATTTAATTTGGACCAATCCACGAAATTGAGCCACGGTCAACCATTAAATTACTAAAATCTCCACAAAACCCACTTCTGATAATATTTTATTTTAATATAACCAAGTTATTTCACAACTCAATTACTTTACTTAGTAAAATCTATACACTATAATGAAATATATCATTGATTGTTGTTGATAATTTTGATGACATTGTTGCTTAGTTTTTGCGTAGAATTTCTCACTAAACTATTATTGTTATTATTCAAATTCTTTTATGATTATAGATAAAATCATCTTGATAAATTGTATGGTCATCAAACTAACAGTCAAAAACAAATTTCCGAATGTTACATTTGCAATTAATCCTTTCCTACTAACTGGATTATGAATCATATGATAAGAATGAAAAAAGATGTCGTTCAAGGATCTCGAGTTCTTCTGTTTATTTTTTTAAGATGAACATAATTAGCGATCCATTCTTGATATACATCAATATCTATCTACGTAAATCTGAAGGATGGTTCTCATGACACTTTATCAACAGTGTTGAGCTTTCCCACATTCAAAATCATAGAGTTGTTATTGCTTATATCTTGTAAACCAATGAGTAGTTCATGAAAAAATATTTTACACAATATACAGAGTATTTATTTGCCTCATTACATATGCGTTTGTAAGGATGAAAATGGTTCATACTCAACTTAATTGGAAATATGGTTTACATACAAAGAACTTTTATTTACTGAAAGATTAATGTCAATAATTTGATGACATTTTGATATTTGACTTGTTTGAAATTTTTTATTTCCTAGTTATCTTAGTAAACGTTATTTTAATTCTTTATGGTCACTAGACTCAATAGAAGATGGTCACTCAATATTATGGATTGATTGGAGCTAGACCGACCCAGTGGTCCAGAGGTTAAATGTCTTCTTGCTAGACCGAAGGTTTTAAATTTGATTTATGGTTGCAAGGCGATTCGTGGTTACTGTTTTGGAGCCCCATACTGGGACGAAACGGCCATTCAATACCTCCAGGTTTTCAATGGTTGTCTAACTTAAATGGGTTTGTGATTTCAACGAAGTCCAATCCTACTTGTATATAGGTAACTGAATGTTAAATAAGGGTAGCGAAACAGTTCATTATCACTTTGGAATTTAAACCCTCCACAATTAAACAGTCCAACTCAATATGAACATACTACCAACAATACTTAGTACTAATCTACGTCAATTAATTCAGGGTTAACAGAATGTTGGGCGTTAACATAACAATACGATAATATCAATAATTAATTACTATTCGTTTGATTTACAAAAAATAAGATTGGTCTATCAGATATGAGGAAAATGATAAATCACTACATAAGACTAAAATATTTCAAGATTTTACCTTAACATCAATTTCGCCACGGTATTCTAAAATGTATGGGAATTCTGAAAGGTGAGCAGCAAACATTTGACTGACGTGTATTCGATCAGGCTAAAATAAAGACATTATAAAGTTTTTAAAAGATGAGTTTTTTAATTAAACAATTTTATGAACAAACTGAAGTTAAGAATGTGAATTTTAACACTTACAAAATGATGTGCTTTTTATGGTTTATTGTAAAGACTTTTGATAATCAAAAACAGAAAGATGTGTAACACATCTGAAAATTAACCTTATCAACATCTAGTCACTGATTGTTAGATTATTTTAATCTCGTACTTTTATAATTGCCAGTTGTTATCCACTACTTTAATTATTAAATGTAAGTAGTTTTTATGTGCCTACTGAGTGGTCGGTGAACTTTTTCTCTTACTCATCTATCTTTCAGATTTTCAGACATGCACCTCTACACAGTCCCCTAAGCATACAACGAGCCACTAGCCTTGACATAAATCTATCTAAACGAGGGTTTACAAAATCAGTAAATTGCATTATTCAGAGTTGTACATGGGAATTATTGTGCCAAGTTTTTTTCACAGCACATATTTATTAGGTATTTGAACTTACCACACCACTAGACATCATTCTGCTAGCTGTATTCACTGTATCTCCAAATAAACAATATCTTGGTGTTTTGTGGCCAACTATACCAGCTACAATAGGTCCAGTGTGACATCCAATAAAAAGCTTTAAAACCTCTTTTTCATCTTCATTACCAGTGGTGTCCTTAGAATCATTTGATTTTGGCCATGCTAAAGATGCATGAGTAACTTTCAAAATATTTAATGCCATCTCTGTTATATGTGCAGAATGAAAACGTGTTTTATTCGGTGCTCCAGAGACAAGCATATAACTGTCACCAACTGTTTCAACCTAAGATTAATTATAGAAAATAAAATAAACTTTAAAATATTTTACTATTAACTATTTTTTAAGTTTTTCAAGTATTTGATCTTTTCACTAATCGATTAAAATGAAGATGTACGTTAAGTAAATGAAAGAGATTCGGACATTTAGTCATTTACCAATGACCTAACTTTATTTACTTGATTAAATATAAGTTGTTTCCAAAAGACTTTCAATCTTGATATGTTGTATTGTACTTGAACAGTGCATTAGATTTCTTTGCTTCAAAATGTCGTGGAATTATTTTTCAGAATAACATGTAAAGTATGAAAACTCTGCATTTGAGTAATTCATCATGATGTTTCTTTGAAAACCGTAATCAGTTAGGAAATTAAAGGAACATAAAAAAACAAACAAATACTTGTTTGAATTGCTAGTTTTATGAAAATGTATAGTTTTAACTGTACGATTGGTACCATATAGAAGTCCAATAGTTGATACATTTTTATATAACAAAATTTGTTAAGATACAGAGAGATGTCTGGTCATTATGGCATATTAGATAAAACATTTTTATTAAAATATTTTTATAATAAACTTCTCATGCGTCATTAGTAAGCGTGGCTGTAGTGTCAGTTACTATGTTAAGGCCATATATGCCAATTTATCCATTCTTCTTGAGTTACCTTTTGACCTTGTTAATTATTCACTTATTATTGTTGACTGTTTTCATACGAGCGTATATGTGTACACTTTTAATCCTATTCATCACATGTCTGTAGCTTAATTTAGGGTGATTATAAATATTGATTAATGCTTGATTAAATTGAGTTGGCCCACACGCCTCCACTGCGCGCCGTTTTATTTCTTCCTCACTTCTTCGCTTCCTTCGCTACGTTTCCCTGATCACCTGTTCGGATCAGCGACTGTATGAAATACACGCATTTGAAATTCATCCTCGTATCTCACTTATTTTAATTCCGTTATTTACTAACGTGAGCTAAGTCGATAATTATATACGAGGATAGCCAGGATGTATATTTTGACACCAATCATCCATACAATATAACTGGAGTCAGATGACGGGCCACCAAATTGGTGAGCCCGTTGATGATATCGTCCGATTTAATTGACGTCAAAACGAAGGGTCCCATTATAGCAAACTGATGAAAGACTTTACACCTCAGCAACAATTCATAGATTACGAAAGCAGTTTATTTTACAATCTCTACTCGTATTTTCAACTGCTTTTTCAAAATAAACATTTATAACAGTCTTTGGATTTTAGATTTAATAATTCGTATTATGTGGTAGACACTGTAAAAGTGTTCACAAAAGATCCATATTTTATTAAAGATAACAACTATCACAAAGTAACATCAACTAGAAAACCAGTAAAATCAGAGAAGTACCAAGTATCTATTTGATCCTGGATTGGAATACCTTAACAATACGCAAGCAAAAACTTTATACCTCTAGATAACTACGATATAATAAAGTCATTTAGGAGTAAAACTAGAAGATTATATATATTTGAATTAGGTATGTTTGTTTCAATGATCTATTTTAAATTAAATTAATTGATTGATAATTACCCGTTTTTGATTTGTTGGATTTTGCGAATCACTGTTTCTCATAAAAAACGTCTAGAAATTTGTATTCATTCTCTTAGAAAACAGTTTTTGTAATAAATTAATATTCATTCACTCGGTATTGTTTGCTTGAATCTTCCTATTGATATTTAGGACTGCAATAGATCAGTCTCTAATTGGCATATGTGCATACTCTGCGTATTGCCTCAATATTGCCTTAACTCACAATCAATATAGGCAAAGATGGACATTGGCTAGCAGTATACATATATGCCAATAAGATACTGATCAATTGCAGTCCTAAACATCAATAGGAAGATTCAAGTAAACAATACCAAGTGAATTTCAAATTCACGCCATTGCACAAGTAAGTGGTCATCAGGAGATAGTAGCTAAGTGGATAACGTGATGGCGTTTGAAGCGAATGGTACTGGGTTCGAGTACCGGAGTGAACATCAACTCTGAGATGCAGGTACATCCGACCGATGAGTCACAAATAGGATGAGATGCGCGTCCTGGATTTCACTGCCAACCACTATCCGTCTTTGCTTATAATTAATGTTTAAATTTTCACTTATAAATAAATTCTTTAACATTTTGTAACATACATTAATAATATTTTTATTCAATACATTTTTAATGATACGTAACAGTAATTGTTAATAATGTATGACAAGTTTTTAAATGTAACATTTAACTTACCTTATAAACATTAGAAGCTTCTGTAAGATCATCAAAAAGCGTGTACATTTTATTTAAAAGCTCCACAATTTGATCTACACTTGTATTTATACATTTTGCACAAAAGTTAAAAACTTTTGTGAAACATATACTTACAGAATCATATGTCTAGTAAAATATCAAATTAAAACAATGTTATGTATATCAATGATCTTATAAAAGGTTAAGAATACATATATCACTTAAAAGTTACTAAATAGCTTGTAGTGTCGGTTATTACGTTAAGCCCATATACCTTATTCTAGCTTTCGGACAGCCCATTCTATTCATTCTACTTGAGTCACATTTTGACCTTGTTAATCATCAGCTTATCAATCTTGACTGTTCTTATATGAGCGTAGGTGTGTGTAAACTCCACCTGGAGTCCCTCCGGGGGCTACTGCCGGTCTCAAGCCCGGATTAAGAAGGAGGGTTGGGCATGGGGTTGGCATCCCCATCCCGTAGAAAACTAACTCGCTAAAAAAACGCTAACCAGAAAAAATTATTCAAACCATCTTAACTCTGCCCTGGGAGTCAGAAGGTCTTCTTTTAGAAGAACTATGACGCCTCATGGTGAAAGCCGAATTCTTTCAGAAGTTACAAGGCCGATGCCCCTTCTGACAACCCGAGCGACCATTTATTTAGGTACATGGAGTGTTCGTACCATGTGAGGCACCGGGAGAGCCCTCCAAATTGCTGCAGAAATGAGGTGATACAACCTAGAGGTGCTTGGGATCAGTGAAACACATTGGACGCAAGTTGGACAACAACGACTAACTTCAGGAGAGCTTCTGTTATACTCCGGCCATGAAGAAGAAAATGCACCACATACACAAGGAGTTGCATTGATGCTGTCCAAACAAGCACAAAATGCACTTATAGGATGGGAATCTCATGGACCAAGGATCATCAAAGCCTCCTTCAAAACAAAGAAAGAGGGCATTTCAATGAACATCATCCAATGCTATGCGCCTACCAACGACTACAATGAAGACGCTAAAGATCAATTTCACAATAGGCTGCAGTCAATCGTCGAGAAGTGCCCAACAAAGGACCTGACCATTCTGATGGGAGATTTCAATGCCAAGGTTGGAACGGACAACATTGGATATGAAGACATCATGGGATGACACGGAGTGGGAGAAAGGAACGAAAATGGTGAGAGATTTGCAAACCTATGTACCTTCAATAAACTGGTCATAGGCGGCACCATATTCCCACATAAACGCATGCACAAAACCACATGGACTTCACCGGATCACACCACGGATAACCAAATCGACCATATCGGCATCAACAAAACGTTCAGGAGGACGATGGAAGACGTGAGAACCAAGAGAGGAGCTGATATAGCATCAGATCATCACTTGCTGGTCGCCAAGATGAAATTGAAACTCAAGAAGTACTGGACAACGGGGCAGACAATATCACAAAAGTTCAATACAGCCTTCCTTCAGGATACTGACAAACTCAACAAATTCAAGATAGTCCTCAGCAACAAGTTCCAGGCCTTTCATGATCTACTCAATGGAGAAGGAACTACTGTGGAGAGCAACTGGAAGGGAATCAAAGAGGCAATCACTTCAACATGTCATGAGGTCCTGGGTCACAAGAAGCACCACCACAAGGAATGGATCACTGTTGATACACTGGATAAGATTCTAGAAAGGAGGAACAAGAAGGCAGCGATCAATACCAGCCGAACAAGAGCAGAAAAAGCCAAGGCACAAGCTGAATACACGGAAATAAACAAACAAGTGAAGAGGAGCATCAGAACTGACAAACGTAAATATGTGGAAGATTTAGCAACGACGGCGGAAAAGGCTGCAAGAGAAGGAAACATGAGACAATTGTATGACACGACAAAGAAACTCCCTGGAAATCGCCGCAAACCAGAACGACCAGTGAAAAGCAAGGAAGGCAAGGTAATCACCAACATTGAAGAGCAACAAAACAGGTGGGTAGAACACTTCAAAGAACTCTTGGATCGACCAGCTCCACTGAACCCACCCAACATCGAAGCAGCACCCACAGACCACCCAATCAATGTTGGCCCACCAACAATTGAAGAGATAAGCATGGCCATCAGGCAAATCAAGAGTGGCAAAGCAGCAGGACCAGACAACATTCCAGCAGAGGCACTAAAAGCAGACGTATCGGCAACTGCAAGGATACTCCACATTCTCTTCAATAAGATTTGGGATGAGGAACAAGTACCAAAAGACTGGAAAGAAGGACTTCTGATCAAAATAATGAAGAAAGGCGATCTCAGCAACTGTGATAACTACAGGGGCATCACTCTTCTCTCAATACCGGGAAAAGTCTTCAACAGCGTATTGTTAAACAAAATGAAGGACTGCGTAGACGTCCAACTTCGTGACCAACAGGCAGGATTCCGTAAGGATAGATCGTGTACAGACCAAATCGCAACTCTAGGGATCATTGTGGAACAATCAATTGAGTGGAATTCATCACTCTACATCAACTTCATTGACCACGAAAAAGCATTTGATAGCGTGAACAGGACAACACTATGGAAACTTCTTCGACACTACGGCGTGCCTCAGAAGATACTCAATATCATACAGAATCCATATGATGGATTGAACTGCAAAATCGTGCATAGAGGACAATTGACAGGCTCGTTCGAAGTGAAAACCGGTGTTAGGCAAGGTTGCTTACTCTCACCCTTTCTCTTTCTCCTGGTGATCGACTGGATCATGAACACGTCAACATCTGAGGGGAAACACGGGATACAGTGGACTTCTAGGATGCTGTTGGACGATCTAGACTTCGCAGATGATCTGACCCTCCTATCGCAATCGCAACAACGAATGCAGGAGAAGATGACCAGTGTAGCAGCAGCCTCAGCAGAAGCCTCAGCAGCAGTAGGTCTCAATATACACAAAGGGAAAAGCAAGATTCTCCGATACAACACAGCATGCAACAATCCAGTCAAACTTGATGGGGAAGATTTGGAAGATGTAAAAACCTTTACATATTTGGGCAGCATCATTGATGAACAGGGTGGATCTGATGCAGATGTGAAATCGTGGATCGGTAAAGCAAGAGCAGCATATTTACAACTGAAGAACATCTGGAACTCAAAGCAACTGTCAACCAACACCAAGGTCAGGATTTTCAATACAAATGTCAAGAGAGTTCTACTGTATGGGGCGGAAACCTGGAGAACTACGAAAGCCATCATCCAGAAGATACAAGTGTTTATTAACAGTTGTCTACACAAAGTACTTCGAATCCGTTGGCCGGACACTATTAGCAACAACGTACTGTGGGAGAGAACAAACCAGATCCCAGTGGAGGAAGAAATGAGGAAGAAGTGCTGGAAGTGGATAGGACACACATTGAGGAAAGCACCCAACTGCGCCACAAGACATGCCCTCACATGGAATCCCCAAGGCCAAAGGAAAAGAGGAAGACCAAAGAACACATTACGCCGGGAAATGGAGATAGACATGAGAAAAATGAACAAGAATTGGATGGAATTAGAAAAGAAAGCCCAGGACAGAGTGGGTTGAAGAATGCTAGTCAGCGACCTATGCTCCATTTGGAGTAACAGGCATAAGTAAGTAAGTAAGGTGTGTGTACATTTCTTATCCCATTACTCATCACATGTCTGTAACTTACTTTCGTGTAACTATAAATATTGATTAATGGTTGGCCAAATGGTGAGTTGGCTTACCCGCCATCTCCACTCCACGTTGTTTCTCTTCTCTCAATCCCATTCGCTTATATACAAAATATATGTATTCACAATTCCGTTCTCGTTATTTGACTTATTAAATTCCGTTATTGACTAACGCGATTTTAGTCGATGATTATATACGAGGATAGGCGATAACAAACATTCATATGATCTAATTGGAGTCAGATCCACGGCCACTAAAGTGGAGAGCCTGTCAACAAACATCATCCGATCTAAATAACGACAAAATAATGCGTCCCACAAACTGAAAATATACATTCAATATTTCTAGATCTTTGTTTGATGTGCCTAAAAATAAAATTTTAATCCACAAATCTAATAGAGTATAAAGTAAACTATAAAAAGAAATAATTATCACACTCTATCTAATCTCTTTTTCAATTAATTTCTTTGAGTTCATATTGAAATTCATACTGTTTATATGATAATTAATTGAATTAGTAAATAAAATATATTTAAATTACCTCTATAGTTTCATTTGCTGGAGTACCATCACGTAGTTTACGAGCCACTGCTCTTGGAATACATTGGTATAAGAGACGATCAGTTAATTTTCGCATTTTATCCAAATGCTTCATACTTTTTTCTAATTCTTCACTTTTTTTACGTTGCTATAATAAATATTGATTTATACACAATGATATCATATATCTACAATGAATTATTATGTATATAAAGTTATTTTGTTAAATGTAACTCTCTCTAATATAATCGTTAAACAATTCTATATCATTCATAGTTGAATGAGATTTCTACGATAACACACGCACTAAAGTGGAGTCTAAGATGATTCAATTATTTTACTACATTTTTATTTAGTTGTCAATGTATTATTACATAATACTGACCAATGTTATATTGCTTTTATAAACTGGTCATTGATCTTCATCATGAGTAATAAGTTATCTTGTATGAAGTGGTAGCTAATAATATAGTTTTGTATTTTTATAATTTTGAAGCCATAAACTCAGATTGAGAGCAAATTACGCCAAAATGAAATATAACCCAGTGTGTAGATGGATTGCGATTGATAATTGTTGAAAATCATTATAATTAAATATCATTACCATATATTTTCTTTGTGAGTAATAACGTTGTATGTGGTGTAATCAATAGATTGAAATCTTTACATTTATGTGATTGACTTACTTAAAATTATTAAAATGAAATGAACTAACAAAAGGATGACAGAAACAGTGAAAAGTGATTGTTTAATAAGTCATTTGTAGCTCACTCAATTGTTGGCTATTATGAAGTCCAAGTTAAAGACAGAGATTGTATACTTTTTTGTGAAAACAAATACTAGATTTGTTGGAAGGAATATCGATGGATTTTACTATATTCAAAGAAATATATGTAAACCGTGTAGTATATTTGTTGGGACCAGGTAGATAAGTTGAAATGCACTGATTTTATCTAACTGATGTCCTATGCAAATTAACTTAGCCATTATAGAGCTTTTAATTAATTTTTTATTTTACTTTATTCAACTAGGCAGAGTGATGCGCGGAAACACTTTAGGGGACTTGTATAATCGTTGCCCCTATTTAATTAACTTCAAAAGAATATCTAAAATAGTAAATGTATATAAATAAGAATAATTCAAGAAGTCTGATTTAGCCAAATATTGGAATAATCATTTAATAAAATCGATAAATTCATTCTTTAAAGTAGCGATTTCCAGTTAAAAGGCGTGAGACGCATTTGGAAGCAAATTATTGATCAATTCTAAAATATAACATACAATTTTGTTGAAAATGGTTTTAATATGCACATACGAATAGATGTGCAAACTATTTTTAAATTTTTGATTAAGATCATGAACCGATTGGTGTTAGCCCGCCATTGAAAGCCTGGAAGCAATGTACGGCCGTTTCATCATATTGTGGGACACTGGAGTACGCATCCACGACCCCGCGAGCGGGATCTCATGCGCGAGACTGAAGGCCCTGGGTTCGAGTCCCGCGAGTGGGATCGTGGATGCTCACTGCTGAGGAGTCCCACAATAGGACGAAACGGCCGACCAGTGCTTGCAGGTTTCCAATGGTGGTCTAAAATCAATCGGTTCATGATCTCAGTCAAAAACTCAATATCCACAGCCCTATACTGATATTTTTAAATCAATGAAATCAATTAAATAAAGTATTAAAAAGAACTGTTTCATTTAATCATAGTATATACTAAGCAAAGTAAAACTAACCATCTGAAATAATTTCACTAGTTCGCTTGAAATTTGATCACCACAAATTATTACATCTCTACTTCGATCAAACATATTCAAATCACAGATGTATAAACCATGTTCATTTAAATGTCTGATATCACGTATACTAAATTTGTAAATAAATTATAAGGAAACATTAGTTTTGTACAATGTATTATACTATCAAAATAAGGGATGCTTTTCAACAAACCTATCAATTTTGTCAGTAAGATAATAGGAGTTTTCATTGAAATGGTGGAGAAGATTTGTAGCTCAGGTGGATAATTTTGATAGAGTTTTGTTCTATGAGCTAAATGGTTTGGTCGTAGAGCTTTCATCGTTCTTCTGAACGACATCATCAGCATAAACCTCAGATAGACTTCCATTTTCATTAAAATGAAACAGAACTTTCAACCATGCTGTTTTTCTTTAGGAATCACAGTGACATCTTTCAGTGTTTAACTAGAAATAAACTTTAATATTCTAAAATTCAATTAAAATCTGACTTATGCTTGCGAAATGGAATAGCGGTCAATCTTTCTTTACCCTGGTAAATTTTATTCCAATAAATTGTTTTTCTTCCAATTTCTTTTATTTTGTTACATCACTGTATCATTTTTGAGTTTATAATCTTATTTTTAAATGTCTGAGTTTATCTTATGACATTCTAAGTTGTCATTATCTTTACTTCATTAACTCGTTACGTAACTATCTAGTGACCGTCTTATTATCTTCTTATTACTACTACCGTACATGATACTTTAGAATATATCTTTATTCCTCGTATACAGCATTTTATTTATGTGGGATCTGATTGTTTGAAATACATAGCGTTAATACATCACATTTTTCAGATCAATTCCATCTTCTTATTGCTCTATCGAACTCTTATTAAACCATTTGAAATTTATTTGAATATTTACTACTCTATAGTGCTACGTAAATTCCGATCAATCTTACTTCTATGAACATGTTAGCCTTTACCTAAAATTTTGAGTTCGAATAGTTAGGGTTGTAAGCAGCTGATGGAACGTAATGTAATAAGATAAATTCATGTTATCTTGTCTTCTTTAATTGTTGTTCTTAATCTCCTTTATTATAAATCATTTTTATTTTGAAAAAAAGTATGTATCACAAGTTAGCATTTCTATTCGTTAATATTATACAAAATACTTTCCATTACCATTTATTAATGATAATAAATAAGAATATATATTTGTGATAGGTAGTGGCATCGGACCCTAGCCACACAACCTTTGAAGCCGAGCATATAATTACTGGAAAGACATATTCAACAATTGACATGAAGATAAGATTAACTATGAAAAGCGGAAATATGAATTGAATTAAATAGGATGGCATGGCTCAGCCTTGCAGGCGTGATCATTCTTGTGTAACTTATCACTTTTATTCATATTGAATCTAGTGTTCTCCATCATATATTGGTGATTGTTACGATAAGTCAGTGCAGATAATGATGTGACTTCCACGTCAAATCTTATAAATTAGATGCTCACTCCATAAAAACTCTAAAATTTTAGGATTAGGTTTATTATTAGAGCAGCGCTGATAACGAAGTAGGCCATAATTCACAGATACATCTTTTACAAGGAAGGGAACATCATACTTAAGAATTATATATAGTACGCTACATAAAATCTGTTTAATTTGATATGTAAAAATTTTCCTACTAGTGTTGTAATTTATTCACATTACCAAATAATTCTAAATAATGTCATAAGTTTTCGATGTGAGTGTAACTATAGTATCTGTACTCAGTTAACTATATACAATTATTTGTATTCAACTGTGTGCTTGAACTATTTCGAGTGCAACAATTATCCACAATAACATTGAATTATCGTAAATTAATCGAAGTTAACAATGTCGACAAATGGATTTGAATCCAGTGGCGTACAGCATATTTGATACGAGATTTCAAAATCTAGTATTCATTCTTATATTAGATCATACGTTTTGAGGCAGGTCACGTTGCCGGTTGCTTTTGTGGCAAATTAAAGTAAGCTGAAAACCAGTGAAAGCCTTGAAACATCCGTGCGTCATGTTTCATTGAACCTTTTTGGATTAATATTCCATAACTGTAGAAAATATAATCCAGAACTTTCATGCTTTAGGACACTTCCGTAAACAATATAATTTTGTATATAAATGTATATATGCAGAAAATTATATATATAAAACTTACGATGGTGCCCCCAGAAATAACAACATATCCCATTGTTCAACAAAACGCATTTCACCTCTAAATTTACATTCTGCCTTACCCAACATTGAGCGATCATTGTTTTCTGGTTCAATAAGGTACATTAAAATAGATTAAAATTGATGAATGGTTATTTCTTTACAAATCGTTCCAATAGTTGTTTATTCAGACATTACTTTAAGCACCAGTTTTAGAATATTATGATATTATTGTATATAAACGAAAATCCTATTGTATTATTTGTTCGACTAAATTCTAGTTACTATCAGAATTTATGTTAAAAGGTAACTAGCAAAACAACGATAAACAAGAATTATGAGATGTGTTGGAATTCCCTGATAACTTTTCGATAATTTCTTCAGAAAATAAGCGGATGCTGGAAACAGCTAATACAAACGCTTAAGAAACTTCTGAAAAATATACAAATTATGTCGCATTTTTGTTAACTGATTACTGACTTTGATATGAAGTTTAGCATGCTTCCAAAGGTTTCTAAAGGTCATGTCATACCAGCGGACCGAATAATACTCTTACTTTCTGTAAATCAATCAGTCTCAACGTAAAAAGTTTTCTATTACTTCTTGCGTGTTTTCTGACGTTTGAAACTAAAAGGTAGGTTCATTATAGGGATTATGAATGTAAGGGCAGCCATTATCAGTCGTTCGACATTCAGGCTTATGATGAACCTAAGTCACTTAGTTTTGTTTAGTCTACGCTTTCTACATCACTACGATGGTGAAGAATCCAACCCTTATTAAAATACTGATAGGCAAATAGGCCGAGTGATAAATGTATCATGTTTAGTTTTGTTTTGTAAATTTAGGAACAGATTTCGCAATTGACTGACATAAATCAGATTGTCGTTAAAAACTAAGCCCTACTTGAAAAACGTTTTTATTCCGGTTTTCATCTATTCGAAACTGTGAATATATATATCCACGTGAGATTTGATCTACCGTCAGTAAAATAAACATTAATGGTCTTCTGTAGTTTGTATTTAATTACGTAACGGAATAACAACACGTGTAGTGATTAAAAACTAAAATTCAACGTATACATCTATTCTGAAATAAATGTTAGCCTGTTTTTTAAGTGTCTCTATTCTTGAATCTATCAAATCAGTTAAACGTTTAATATAACCTTGTTCGCTGATCAGTCAGTACTTTTAAACGAGATGAATAAATTTTACTGTTGCAAAACTCAATAACATTTTAGTGTCGGTTACTATGTCAAATCCACATAGCTAATTCTGGCCTCCGCACAGGTCAATTTATTCATTCTTCATGAGTCACATTTTGATCTTGTTAACTATTCGCTTATTACCCTTGACTGTTTTTATGGAGACGTATATGTGCACTTCTTATCTTACTCATCACATATCTGTAACTTATTTCCGTCCGACTATAAATATCGATTCACACTTGGTTAAACTGAGTTGGCTCCCTCGCTTCCTCTATTGCTTGTCACTTTGTTTTGCTTTGCTTCCCGATCAACAATCGTACGAAATATACGTATCCAAAAATCCATTCTCATATTTGACTTATTTAATTCCGTTATTCACTTACACGATTTAAGTGGATAATTATACGCGAGAATTAGCGACATGTAGCAATCATTTAAACGATCCAAATGGAGCCAGATTTCGGGCCACTAAAACATATTTACTGTTTTTCTGAAAAGAGTACAAAATCGACTTCACACATAAAACTTGGAAAATAAATTAGAGCTGTAAGCTAAACCACATAAATAAGTTATCATTATAAGGTGATCAGTATTAGGTTTATCACAGATTAGAACCAATATAATGTCAAGAAAGAAGTTAAACAATAAGATTAGGAAATTTTCTTGCCCAGTGTAATAATCAAATAATATCTACAATAGACTGATACACTTACTATTCAAGCATAGATTTTTTATCAGAACCAATTCAAATGTATTATGCATATGTAGTTTTATCTGGAAAGATAAAATATATAATGATATAGTTTATTGACGACTTGAAGAAAGATAATTCATAAAATTCCTCGGTTCAGTCTAATGTTAGACGGTAGCTAATTGCTAATCAGAACTCTTAAACTTGAATGAAACAACTTCTTAATGATATCTGACTTATAATGATTTTATAGTTAATATTAGTATTTAATGAAAATCTCTTTTATGACTGATGCAGTTTTATTCATTGAATACTATTCCAGACTATAATTATTTAAGAAATAGGGAAATATAATAATTACGGTATATAACTTTGCTGGTTAATAATGGCACATTTCAAATTATTTCAGTATCTAAACGAATTTAGTTGCTGCGTATATTTGATCAACATTCGGTACCATCAGAAAGATCTAGACTTTAATTCATGTTTTTACTGATAACGTACTTCTTATTTGTTATGCAGGGCGACATCAACGTAGGAACCTATGAAAGGTGCTCAGACATGTCAAGAATGTAAATTGTACCATAAGTGGCAATGAATAACGTTTGCACAAAATTATTAATAGGCTGAAGTTGGAAATGTGAACGATAGGACAGTAGTTTAGTTGTTTAAATGGTTTCGGACTAACCGAAAGTCATGAATATCTTCAGTGTGTACAAAAAGTTTATCGCACTCTAAAATGAACTAGCTGCCAAGTTTTACAGGGTCCTCAGTAGGTCATATGGTACATTGAGCACATGATGTCAACTAATTTCAACTTAACTAAAATAGGTTCATAAAATGAAAAATCAGTAGCTCATATGTACACATAAAGGAAACATAATTATAGACAATTTATTATGCTAAATCTACTGTTGAAATATAATTTCACAGTGTTGGTATGGTTTTTAGGATTCTAGTCTAACTGGAACAGGTGCGCTTATTGATTGACTTCACTTTTGCTAAAATTGTAATTATATAAACAGTATTTAGTGCATTTGTTAACATTTTTTGAAGACACCAAATTTGTACAACATTCATCGAAATATCATAATACTCTGGGTTAATTACTGTAAATGTGTTTTGATGGGGTGCTTCAGACTAAAAGTTATTTAAGTTTACTTATGAAGAATTACGATGATAAACGATTTTGGAAACAATATGTAGTTTTTGACCTCATAATCTATTCTTTGTATAATTATCAACAATTTCTTAGATTTACTAAAAATTATCGGTTTGGGGTTGTGGAGATTATTAAGTTGTTGATTGAGATCATGAACCGATTGATCTTGGACCACCACTGAAAACCAGAATGGACTGGACGAACTTTTTGTCCTAGCACGGGACTTCTGAACAGTGCGCACTCACGATCCCGCTCGTGAGATTTGAACCCGTGGCCTTCTGTCTCGCACAAGAAAACTTAACCCCTAGATCTCTGGGCCGGTATTCAACGATGTTAGTGTCTAAATTCAACCAATCCACAAAATTGTGCGAACATCTTCCATTGTACTGAGATAGATAACTGTCTCTACCCAACATGGATCAGCTCCATAGGTCACGATTTCTCATTATTATAAATTGTCAGAATTTTATTAGCTAAATGCACATTATAATGGAAACAAAATCCTTTTAAATAGCTTGGTGAAGAAACAGTACTATACCTATTCGAAAAAATTATTACGTAATAATCATATTTGCCATAAAAACATAATAATTTGATATCAAGTTATGAATGAATGTAGAAATGTTTATTTCGAAATGATACCAAAAAGAATTATTCGTACACAATAGCTTCAAACATACTCCCAACTAACGGGTTTTATTTTTACCTTAAATGAGTTTTATTTACCGTTTCCTGTTGTTTTATATCAATGTAAGTACTAATAGTTACTTAAAAATTAGAATACGTTTTACAAATTAAATTTGTCTGTACACTAGAAAGACTCACTAACATTGATGGTCCATATTATTAAAACATATACAAGCATAAATATTCATCTGTGATCTGTTTTAAATTGTTTATTATTAAAGGAAAATTGACCGTAAAAAGAAACAGGGAATTACAAACAGCTAATGTCTTTAATGTTATAAACTCGTTCATAACTTCATTTTCTTTAGTCAACTTCACCGATCATGATAGTAGTCACAATATTTTAGATGATATGTGTATAGTTAAAGTATAGTTTTACATCAATAAATCAAATCTCTCACTTTAATTCCGTATTAAGATATACTAAAATCAACTGTTGCTTGTATTTAATCTAGTTTTCTGTAAAGTCTTATATAATACCTTTCATATGAACTATATATTCAATATAATTATATTATATATGAAGTCTGTATTCAAAAGTCTATATTACTACTACTATTGTTATTAATGGCTTTATTCAATATTATATTATTGGTACAATATAGAATTCTCAGCACAGAGTATTTCAACAAGTTTCGTACACACAAAAAACGGAAACAGGTAGCCCAGATATTCAAGCAGGCCGCCAGTTGTGATACTATATATATATATATATATATATATATATATATATATATATATATATATATGTATATATATATATATATATATATATATATATATATATATATATATATATATATATATATATGCATTACCTGTTCAAATGTACAATTTATCACTGGATATCTAATTATAAATAATTCTTTAAAACTACATCCAATTAAATTATCACATATTCGTTGAATAGCTTCACCAACTTTCATTATAATTAAATTTTGATTAATTATTATATAAAATGGTAATAATGAATGTAATTCATTACTATTTATATTTGATTGTAGAATATCATTAGATATACATAATGATTTAATATTTGGTAAAAATTCTTTCATTTGTAATCTACCATTAAAACAATAAATTTTAAAATAACTTTCAATAAACATTGATGATGATAATGGTGGTGTGGATGATGATGGTAGTAGTGGTGGTGATGATGATGGTGGTGATGATGATGATGTAACTAAGTTACAATTCTTTTGATGAATTAATTCAACTTGTATATTTAAATTATAAATTAATTTTGCTACATGAGTTAATTGTCCTTTTACAAAATTTGTAAAATATTTACGTTTAGTACAATATAATAAATATAATAAATGATCATTTTCAATTTTAATAATAGTAAATAATGGTGATTTAATATATGGATAAATATACTTAATTTGTTTATGTATTTCATTTAAATTATTTAAAAAATCAATAAAATCTTTACCCATTACTTTTAATAATGTCATATAACCAGAATCAATTAAAAATTGTATAAAATATTGACCATTTTCATAATATAAATCATTTATTGATTTATTAATTAATATTGATAAATAATTGATTAATTTTTCATATAATTCTTCTTGATATGTTTGATTAGTTTGAAATATTTTCTCTTTATTTATTACATGATATAAAATTTGTAACCATATATCATGATTATAAGTGGTTTCAATATATTTACGTAAACTTTCAAATAATAAACCATACATTATATAAATATAAGTGAAATGAATTGAGTGATCACTGGATGGTGATCAATGTCATGCGTGTCTAGTCCTTATTAATGCCGACCGTATGCTATCGACTATCTAATCTCAAGTGAAATGAATAATATACAAGGCATGTTCTACTATTTATATGATCAAGATTAATCAGTTGAATATATATCAAAATGTTTATTCTTATTTTATAAAATAAATTAAATAATTACATAATATGATTGATAATGAGATGATGATGAAGATTTGTAGTTTAGGTGAATGATTTCGATGGAGTTTTATTCTTTGAATTCAAAGAGTAAAACTCCATCAAAATGATTGATAGTTGATATACATTTTTTTGTATTCGAAAGTAAACTGATGGATTACTTCAATGAAAATTATTGTTAATTTAATAAATTTCATTTTATTTTATGAATAATATAGAATAATACTATACTACTTTAATAGATTTAATAGTAGCACTAACTACTTAAAATATTATTCATTTAGTTTGGAGACAGTGGGATAGTTATTTTGTCTTTTTTTTTCTCTTTCTTTCTTTCATATACATTAGACATAGGGATTAATTGCTTAACAATTCAAATATATCTGATAAAATAAATTTCAGTCATTAGTTAATTTGCTTGTTTTTTTTGTAAAGTCTAAAATAGTTAGTTCTATTATGGTTTTCTATAAAAATGTCTTTCATTCATTATGATTCTAACATATAATACTCAAAATTGAGAACAATGTGTATAAGATAATATAAACATCATCGTTATACTTCCCTACAGTTTTTTTCTCTCTATTTTTGTTTGGGTTGGTAATCATTCTTTTTTTTAAAAGAAAAAAAATGTAAACATTATTATTTCAATAAGTGATTCTGGGTGGTATCCACTTCTTATTGTTTTTACTCATGAAATAATGTGATTTTTATTCATATTGTACGTACATAACCCATATTGGTCATGAATTACGAAAAGTTTCGAAATTTATAGAATTCGAGTCTAATTTTTATTTAATTTTGCAGTCTTATTCAGTGACGACATAAACTTCTAATGGTTAAACAAACCTACCGTAGAAATAAGGATACTGAAATAAATAAGACAGTTTAGTTGATCAAACTTAGACCAAACTATAATGTACACAAAGTAAAGGCATATATATACGAATGTCTATCGAACCCAAACGACGATACGTAAACTGAAACCATGATCATGGCATAATCTAATTCATCCATTAGTATGCTATTCACGTAACTTCCAGCGTACCATTTAGTCCTGAGACGACACGTGATTATCTGCTTCTTGAGATATCACGTAATGAGTCTACAAATCTTCAAACTACAACCCTCTTTTCCTAGAAGATTTCTGTTTTAGATTTCAGTTGAAGTGGAGTACACCAATTCTAGGGTTGAAACCTTATCATTTTATCGTATTTTGAGAAATGCAGTTTAAGTATACTTTCGAATCACAAGTCGAAACCTTTAGACCAACGAGTCAGAGGAGTGGTCACATTTTAATTGAGTAATCATTTGACAACAGCTGGAAACTATAAAACGATGGATAGCCAGTCCATCCTACTATGGGACTCCTTCATTAACTGATTGTAGTTGAAAACGTAAAATTTAAATACCCACTCAGTGGTCTAAAGTGATTGTTACGAGACCTAAAGTTTATTGATTGGTTTATAGTATCTTGATATTGTTTTTATATTAGTCTTCTATCGGATTCCCTGATTTTCAGTCGTTTATAAATCACAAAAAATAATTATATACCCTTATTACTCAGTTTTCAAACACTTTGAGATTCATTGTTGGACTGTGAAACGTATGTTTGTGAGAAAATAAAATAAAATGGCAGAAGGGGGTGAAAAACATAACAAACGATGAGAAAGTTTGAAAAATAAATAAATTCATTTATTAAGGCCAAGGGAGAGATAAGGGTGTTACAAATTTCTTCTGAACACAAAGACTTGGATTGTTGGCTCGGATTTCTATAGCTTCTGCTATGTGTAAGAGACGAGATCGAACACCATAAAGGAAACTAGTGGGAATACGATAAATAACTTTAAATGACTTGTTTATGTCCACTACATGACCGCTGTCGATCAAGTGTGATAGAACCGAGCTGCTTATTGTCTTGACGTTACCTTTTCCAAACCACGAAGGGAGGTGTTCACTAACTCTTTAGTTCAGTTGCCTGGTAGTGCGCCCAATATAGCTTTCTCCACAGGAGCAGCGGAAGACGTAGATACACATAGAAGTGGCATAACCGGGTAACTCATCCTTCAATTGCGGAATCACCATCGATCCGGTCGAATACGATAGGCAAAGGTTGGGAGCATTAAACGTTCTCTTTACTGCTCTAGTCAATCTATCCCGTAATACATCGCTAGCTAAATCACCATTCAATTGCAGCTTCAAGAAAAGCGGTTTCTTATTAGCCGTCAGAGTCACTATTTTCTTGTTTTGTACCCGCAAGTGTATCTTCAGGAAACCTTGTGGATATCCAAATTCAGTCAACATATTATGAATGTGCTCTAATTCCTTATAAATTGTGTCAACTGAGCATATCTTAATAGCTCTATTTGCCTTTATTATTCTTATCAAAAACTAATGCACCTGATATCACACTACCAATTTGTACTTTTCAATTTTCACCTATTATGTAATCGTTTTCATAGTTATCATTGATTCATTGTTTGCAGTAATTCACTGTTCTTTATCTTTTGCGTGTAATTATATGATTAGTTTAGTCTGAATAGTACGGAATAGAGAGTCATATCTGTTTAGTTTTTCTGGATTTTTGATGGGTGGATCAGAATTAGCTGATAAATTTTGTATGAGCAGTTAACCGTTTCATTGAATACAGGAAGCAGTATTAGTGGAGTTATGGTGGGTATAAAGTGAAGCATTTCATACGAATTTTCTTACTTATAAATCCGTTAGTTCCATGGAGAATAAAATGTTACTACTGTTATTTAGTTATATAATCGTATTCAAAAATTAAACTTTAACAGTGTTATATATTCGTCAACATTTTATCGTCCTTTTTTTTGAAATCATCTGTGACATTGAACCAGTAAACTCAAATGTATCACAAACTGAAAACTTGTTCTTTGGAGTGGTTTTATCAAATCACCAGTTCAAACATGAACTTGGAGTTCTAAACCAGAATGTAAACTCTCTCATTCTTCCATATCCTTACTACTCCATGTAGTTTTATTTTTTATTTACTAGTCAATTGTTATTAAACTCTCCTGACTTTGTTTAATGATTTTTTCATGATCTCTAGATTTCTAACTTCAAATTTGGCAAATGGACAATCATCTTCTATATTTCAGATCTATAAATTATTCATACCTTACTATTTTTCTTTAAACTTGAGACTGTTACATAACCGGGTTATAAGATTTTAAATCTTCGGATACTTTATGACGTATTCATATTCTCTTTTTTTCAATGAAATATATTCTACTTATTTTAAATCATTTTAACTACAATAAAATCATCGTAAAGAAAATTTTCTTTAATTCATTGCTTTAATTTCTCCTTTAATTAACTGATGTATCAGATGATTATGGCTATTCATATAAAAGAAGGGCGGTATTTAAAGTTAGTGATTTCTTTTGTTTGTTTTGTTGTTGTTGTTGTTTCTGCTTTCGGTCCTCATCAATATATTAGGCTACTTGGTAATGAAGGATGTTTATAAAATAAGTAATTTGTTTTTTTTTAAAAAAAACCTTTTCTTTTAGTTTTATATCGTAATTAATTATAACTGAAATAATTGAATGATGGGCATCATAATGAACGTTTAATGCTTTTATTCTGTATAGTCAATCACTATTAAATTGGAAAGAGCTATGAAGATATCTTCATTGAATAGATTAATCATTAACCCGATTAAATGACATTTAAGAAAAATAACTAAAATTAACTATTTGACACTAGTAAATATATATGGTTACTAAATAAAACTTGAAAGATTTAAAAAGAAAAAATGGTTCAACTTCCAGTGGTCATAATAAAAAAAATGCTCATAATTACATGGATATATTAATCCGAGTTCAGAAGTTCATAACTATTTGTGTGTATGTAGTACATCTTTGAAATTTTGTATGCACCCGTAGTCACAGTGTGTTTGCTTGAAAAGATATATATATATATATATATATATATATACCATTGGATGCCGGCTCATTGGTTCAATAGATTAGGCGTACGCGCACGACACTGGAGGCCCTGGGTTTGAATCCTGCGAGCGGGATCGTGGATGCGCACTGCTGAGGCTTCCCACAATAGGACGAAACGGCCATCCAGTGCTTCCAGGTTTCCAACGGTGGTCTAACATCAATCGTTTCATGATCCCAATCAAAAAACTATTAATCTCTACAACCTCTTTACTAGTAATTTCATGTGTAACGAAGATATTCATTATGAAGAACGTGTACAATGAAGTTTTATTTCGGTTTAATTAACTAATTCAGTTCTGCAAAAATAGTAAACATTTTTGATATAAGAAATACAAGTGTATATTTATCCACTGAAACTTTCTTACTATTTTGTCAACCTGCATAGTTTTATGTTTACCGATGAATTTCATTGTACAAATGACATATCAGTTCATTTTTAATGTTTATTAACCTATTTCTATTTTAAGCAGGGAATTAACATTATTTAACAATTATCCCCCTCAACAAATATTTAATCTAGGATTTAGAAATATCATATAGGAATACAACAAAGTAACTGATGAACAGATATACTTTGATTTATAAATCTAATAGATAATTTAATAGGTATCAATGAATTACATTAGTACAAAGACATATAAACATCAATAATAATATAACAATATATTATAGAATAGGATTTCATATATATATTAAAAACTTTTTTCAACTTACCTCTTCTATATTTGATTTAATAAATGGTCTAAATAATAAGAATTTTTCATTAAAATCTGAACCTTCAAGAGATGAATCTAATTTACGAAATGATGTACTAGCTCGTTTAATTTTCATTTGATTTGTTATTAATAATGAAAAAGCGAATATATCAAAAAATACATTACTAGATATTGTATCACCCCAACTATCTAATGGTTTTTGTATATAATAATTTTGTGGATCAATCCATCGTTTACCATTTAATGTATATATATCATAAATTGTTTGATAAATATTATTAATAATTTTCGTACTAATTAATATCACCTTAATATCAAGATTATATAAACGTTTAGCTAATGTAATTAATTGTCCACGAACATAATGTATATATCCATTACGTTTTGATGAATATTTTAAACGTATACAATCATTTGTAGTATTCATAATAGAAAATGATGGTGGTTGAATATCTGGATAAGATAAACGTAAATATTCATGTAAATTATCTAAATTATGTAAAAAACTTATAAAATCTCTTCCTTGTACACGTAATAAATTTTCATAACCATAATCAGATATAAATGCAGCAAATGATAAACCAGTTTGATAAGTTACATTTTCAATACTTTCACCAGTTTCATGACTAAATGCTAAAAATAAACGTTCTGGTACTGTATCAGAATAGGTATTATGCGTTTGAAATGTTAATAAACCTATATTAGATTTTTCAACAATTCTAAACCATACATCTTCACCATAAATTGATTCAACATAATTTTGTATACCGATCACTATTAGTCCGTACATTTATAATAATAACTACTTTTAAATTTTCAACTAAATCAAATGTGTATATCAAATAATAAACTATTCAATAAGGATGATTGTTTTTATAATTTACTTCTATTTTCTTTTTTTTTCAAATTTGATTTTGGTCGTTGTTTTTGTTTTCGTCGTTTTTGTTGTTGTTGTTATTGTTGTTGCCAAAAACAAACCAATCATATAAACTAATAATATAGAATAATAATAATTGGCCATTATTTATTATGTCTCATTGTTATATAATATTAAAATTTATTTTATTCAAAATATTGTTTTATCTATTTATTATTATTTTAATTGTTTATCATAAATATACATAAATATTTCTGTTTATTTAAGGTAGATAATTAATCGATTTCAGTTTAATAATGATATGTATATCGTTTTCATTTATGATTGTTGAAATCTTTTAGCCCCCAAATGCCCTGGTACGGTCGAGAGTGGGGAGAGTTCGTTCACCCTCTCGAAGTGATCTCACATGACCACGCGTATATAGCCTCTGTCAGGGAAGTCCTACTCACTACTTTCTTGTGGCGTTACTGTAGTTTACGAAATTGAGAGGATGAAAAGCGAATGTCCGGCGCTTCAACCGGGCTGGTGCACACGGAGAGTCCACCTAGGGGAGTTGGAAAACCCTGATTCGAAACCAACTGGGTACATGGGCTTCAGCACACTGAGTGAACAAATGGCGTATGAACCAATCGTTGGTCACCGGCTACCATGGGACTGCATATCCTTACGATGCTTCACTGCCTTGTGCATCGGGTCAAAGGATCCGAGAGTGGCCCCCTAAGTGAACCACCTGCTTTTGTTTGTGCACCCGGGTAGTATCACAGCCCTCACACATATCAAATAAGATTTGTGTGGCTCATTTGTATTTGGTGCCTCTTTGTACCAGTATCTATGTGTTAAAATAAATAATCTGTTTATAAATAACAGTGATGAATCTTTAACTATATATTTTAATTCAGATGACCATACTTATAACAGATACCTTAGTGAACGAGAATATTAATAATAACAATTGGATATACTTGAATACAAACTTATAGAACATGTTAATAAAAATCTGAGAATCATACAGTAAATTGTTTATTTATAAAATATGTCAATCAATGATCTCAAACTTGATTATACCTTTAGCAAAATGTCAATTAATTGTCTCAGAATTCATTGTTCTTTTGTTTCCATACCAATCATTTTTTTTCAAAAATTTTTTATTCTCTTTCCATTGAACTTCTTAACTTTCTACCACCAAAACATTTCACTTTCGATTAATGATGCATACTACTTATATCTATGGACATTAGTAGCACACATTACAATATACTTTAGAAATAGTGTTTTTTTTCAGTAAAATAAACAAAATTGGAACTTTCATGAAAGGAGTAAATTTAAATAGTTGAAAGTTTGAATTCATAATGTGTATACATAGTTTGTAACATATACATTATTTGTTTTCAGTTATTTACTGTCTTTTGTTTATACATTTCTGAATAAGTGTTTACTGACTAATAAAAAATGTTTTGAAGAATATTTGTTTATATTATTTCTATAGTTATACTAGTTAAATCTTATTTAGATTTGAAAAAGAACTTGTTATACACAATTTTGCAGTGAATTCAGAATATACTATTTAGAATACATTAATGATGATGATGATTTTTTACTTTAGAATGAATAGAATATTTCATTTTATTGTAAGAATTGCCTTTCTCAAATTTTTGTTTCTCGGTGGTCAGCCTTAGTTTCTATTCTAAAAACTTTTGATTATAAAAATCTCTTATTTCGATGATCTCATGTGGTGTTTAAATGAACTGATGATTCCTTTGTACTTGTTGAATGCTTGATTTCGAAGTCCAAACACAGTACATTTGTTAGTGCTTATCTATTACTTCTTGTTCTAATTGCGTTACTTCTGGGATTCCTAGTTTGTTCTATAATGCAAATACACTTAATTATCACATTGGCGTCATGATGGAGCCTGTGATGTAACTGTTGGATATACATTCAGATTTTTATGCTATTGAGGATTACTTTGAAAGGTTCGAAATCTGGGCTATGACCAAGGAAGATGGCGAAGATGGTAATATTGTGGCACATTTCCTCACATTCGTCGGAAAAGAAGCATATAGCTTATTAAAGACTCTGGCTTTACCAGAAAAGTCCATTTCGCTTCCTTATTCAACTCTCAAGGATCTACTGCTAGACTATGTTAAGTGTGCAAATTTCTATTGCGGTGAAGTGGGAAAATTTCGTAAAATGATTCATCAGGACATCAAAAATTCCACTACATTATGTCATCCCAATCCAGTGCATATTCAAGGTTAGGCAGATAATTCATTGAGGAGTTGCGATGCAGTTCACGAAGATGGGCACAAGTTTGGTCAATGTTTGTTCTGTGGCAGGTTCCACTCTTTTAATTCATGTAAATTTCGTAATTCTAAGTGCTTTAAATGTGGTGATATTGGACATATTCAGTCAGTTTGTAATACTACTGTTCATCTTGCTGCAACGAATATTAAGTCTTGTAATTCTGATTCTATTAAGTTGAGTATTTGTAATGATCATTTATGTTTATCAACGATTTGAAAAGACAGTGTAGAGTCATATAACAGTTCAGAGTTAAATGAAACTCAGAATTCTTGCGAGACAAGAGTTTCGAATCAATCGACTTATCAGATTTCTCATGTTATTGTACCAAATATGGGTTTTCCTAATGATTCACTTATTTCTAACGAAGTTCCTTGCAAATCTGAGGAAAATATGTTGAATGGACCTGTAGTGACTCACATTTATCATGAGAACACGACTGGTTTAATAAAAACAATTATTATTATAACCAACTGTACCAGTGTTTGTTTTAACGTGCTTTTGTTTGACTGTGCTAATGACAGCTATTTTGTGCTTCCATTCTTATACTTTCACTTTTGATTGTGACTTCGCGCGAATTTGGTTACGTTCTGTAACCAAGCTTGTATCCTGGCACGATCTCGGTATCCTTTCGACGCCACGAGATGGCCAGCAAATATAACTCGACTTGGTCCATTAATTGCCTTCTGATATTTGGCTTCTCGGAGATTTTATGGGTTTCTTTGGTTACGTTCAACCTTCGCCTTCTGATTAACTTGGCACGTGTTTCTTGGTAGCGGTGTTCATAGTTAATCTCAACTCGACGCCACGCTACAAACCTAGTCATGATGGAAAACCTGATGTAGTTTTGATAGATGCTGATTTTTTTAATGATCCTTTGCTCTGCAATGACATTCCTAATGAATTCGAGGAAATTATTACAGAAGAGTCAAAGCTTGATGTCATATCAAATATTATTTGTCCTCATAATACTTTTGTTTCTTGTGGGAAACTTGTTCAGTGTGAAACACAAGTACTGAATGAGCTCGGGTTTGATCACAATTTGGATTATTTCATATCTCGAAGTCACTTCTAATGTTTACTCTAGTCAATGTGAGAAATATGTTTTAAATGAAGCCACATCATTCGTAACTTGGGAATATAATGATCCAACATTATTTCGTGGGGGAGGATAGTGTTGGGAAATCTGTGCTTTAAATTCTAGATAGTGGTTTCGGTACACAACCAACACGGCAATTGTATACAATCCCAGGAAGCAGATGAGTCTGTTTTGATTTCGGTTGTTAATTCCAATATCAATGAGCACATTCCAAATAATCCAGAGTTTTTATCCAATACAATGTCGTACAAACATAGGATGAACTTAAGAAGACGTACAATCGATTACAGACACTTGGACTCTAATTTAAGCTGTGGCGGATGTGTTGTTTGAATGAACTGATGATTCCTTTGTACTTGTTGAATGCTTGATTCCGAATTCTAAATATAGTACATTCGTTTGTGTTTATCTAGTACTTCTTGATCCGACTACGTTATTTCTGGGATTCTTAGTTCATACTATAATTCAAATACTCCTAATGATTACATCTGACCAATTTCAACAGCTAACGAAAACAAGTGTTATATATATATATATATATATATATATATATATATATATATATATGCTTAAAAATTGGTGACTTTTCTTCAGGTTATCAAATTTTAAACTTGCACCCTTCCGGAAAGATAAATCATCAGCTTATTCAAACTGCAATAATACCTGATAATAGGGATAATTTTGACAGTTCAATAACATTCGAATAATAGTTCATACTACATCAAATGAAGTAAAATATATTAAGGTCAGGATAATCTACATCGTGTTGAAACAACATCGTTTAACTTTTATTTATTTAAAGGTTGTGGTTGTAAAGTTCGACCATTTCCAAAAATAAATTGCTCAGTGAGCATTCGACATTGATGTGGACCACGATAGGTTAAGTAGAAAACAACTATCAGTCAAGTATTCACACAAGATCATTTTCGGCTTACCAAATGGCGATCTGGTGCGAATGTGTGACCGAGTGCACTCAGCAATGTATGTCCAGTAAAACTAGTGATGTCAGCATCAGATGTTGAAGACTTACATAACTATTTATTTTGAGGATTTATTTACCGCCACAAGCTTATACATTAAAAATGTTTATGATGGTTAACCTGTAAAAGCACTGATGACAGTTAATTATGGTTATTTAGCTGATACTTCAGGACTGGGCAACACTGGTATACCAGTCTCTCCCGATGAACTGACTGCAAGGTAAATAAAATAGCCCGTGATTGTAAGTATAGTTGATCATAGTTGATTCGTATTCAGAAGTTGCACTACGTGTGACTTCTAAATGGTCAGCTAGAGTAGGATATACTTCCTAGGTATCCCTTGTAATCAATACCCGGCTTAGATCAAACGTTCAACAACATGTCAATGACCATCCAAGTATATCTTAAAATTCATTCATCCCTGACTCCTAATTTGACTGGCTTGTTATCTATCGATTAAGAAGATTTTACGGACACATGCGTTATAAAGCCTTGAGTGGTAAGCACGACGTGACCTGATAACATACTTACGC